TGTAAAGCGCTTTGGGGTCCCTAGGCGGGACTAGTAAAAGCGCTATACAAATACAGGCCATTTACCATTTACCATATAAAGGAGCAATTATGACATGATGACAAGAGGATATTTGCTATGAAAATTACAACTGGCAAAACTGTAAATCTTTATCTGAAGCCACAGCAAAAGTCAAAGACATATCTCCTGTGTGCACCAAAGGTTTTCTTAATGTTGGACAATTATATATTTGCACGTGGCTACAAAGACCTTACTGGATGGTTAATACCAACATTAGCAGGGTTTCTCCTCAGAGAGATGGAACACCCACCAAAGAAGCCATGTGGAAAAAATAAATAATCGTGCTACTGAATTAATTTATGTGCATTTGATTCATTAGTTAGAAAACTGCAGTTTTCTATCATTGATGGTCATGCCAGTGTGTCTGCCTCTAGTGTGTTTTTCTGCACATGTTACTGTAAAACCAAAAAAGTCTGACAGACAACTCACTCAAGCAGAGAAAACCATCCTTGCAAAAGGGATGAACTTTGCTATGACGCAGAGACAAATCCCACTAGTGGAACTGATCACAGCCACAGAATCAGCAATATGAAACAACAACAATGCAGATGTGGAAGCAGTTTCCAACATCAGCATGGAGGAGAGGAAGGCACTCACATCACTTAGTAATGGCAACAGTATTAGCATCCTTCCGGCAGACAAGGGCAGGTGCACAGTTTTGCAGAAAACCAGAAAGACAACCATGAGAAACTTTTGTCACATCTTAGTGACAAAAATACTTGATGAAATGAAATGCAGGTGGTGGTTACATGAAGATGATAGATTGTCTGAAGCAGTTAGAATAAGAGAATGCTATTGACCGGAACTCATACCACAGGCTATTCCCAGTGGATACTACACCAAGTCTGTATGGTTTACCGAAGATACATAAACAAGGTGTACCTTTAAGACCAATTGTCTGTATGAGCAACTCGGTCTCTTATAACATCTCAAAGTTTTTAGCTTCGATCTTTAATTCGATGTGGTGTTTAGGCAACTCTAAACACAACATCCAGAACACTTTGAATTTCGTTGAGAAGGTGAGAGATGTCATTATGAAGGCAGATGATCAACGGTCATAACGATTTACTTATTAATGATCATTAAACTGTCCATTGACACATTTTTCTTCAGTACACTATGAGAGTTTTATACAAAGCAGACAGGACAATGTTGCAAGACAAAGCACATAAAGAGGAATTATGACTAAATGACATGAGGATACCTGCTATGAAAATTACTATCAGCAAAAATGTAAATCTTTATCTGGATCCAAAGCGTTTGACTGCTGCTGCAGCCACTTCAGAATGTGAATGTGCCAACTGAATTCCAGGGGATTCTTTCTAGTAAATTAGGTTATAAGTATGTGAATGTTTTGGATAGAAACTGTATACAAACAGCTTTGACTAATACAAAATAATGGCTCAGTTCGTGTTTCATATATATTACATTACTTCTGGATACAATCTAGCATGAAAGCTTGTTTAATATAGATTTATACAGTGACAAAATATGTACAGTCAATCTCACATTCTTTGCTGCACCAACTACCAAATTTCAAACTATGTATCTGTAGAACACATTATAAAAACACAGTTATAAGTAAATATTTCTTTTTAAAAAATGAAAGAGAAATATGTTGTGTGTGGTAAAGGTTTTCCTAATGCTGGACAGCATACTGCATACCCAGGATTTTCCCTGCCTCAATATTATCTTTTAGGAAGTCTTTCAGGAGGTGGTTTAAAAAAATATTTTATTACACTGCTGTTTATTTTTGGAAGGGAATCTAAAAAGCTCTTTGGTGGTTGACACCAACTTTGGAAGGCATATTTTTTCCTAAAATAAAAGATGTACATACCTCAGTGTGAACAAACTAAAAGAAAAATCATAATTATCAATGTGTTTGTTTTATATAATGGCTCATACATAACAAAGTTATGTGCTTCTTTTTCCCACCTTTTAAACAACACAGTCATATGACTTTCCCCCGCACATTTCTTTCCTTCATGTTTGTGTCAACTGTTTATGTTTTACCAGACCATTCTGATTCCTGCTAGAATGGTTAGAGAGCTGGATCTAGAGTCCTACCTGCGCTCCTGATGATTGCATAACCTGCAGTACACAGTAGCACTCAGCGTTTTTCTAATGTTGAAAGAGCTGCAGAGCATCACTGACACAGAGGGTCAGCTGTCACTGCATATAAGTGGCTCCTGCTCTTTCTGTGGGAGAAAAGCTGCCTGGTGACCTCTAAACAGCTGCTGTTTTAAGGAACTGTCGCGCACGCGTACAGCATCGTGTAGGCCCATTAATGTCAAAATAACAAGAGCATAGCTTCCCATTTCCGGTCGAAAATTTTTGAACGCATGCTCCAACCTCCTGTGAGTGTTTCAGTGGACAAAATACAATGTCATAACAAGTTTTTTTTTACTACATAAATACATTAAATAACTCGTCGGACTCACGCGTAATTTTAAGCAACTGTTAAATCTTAAACACTTCACACAAAAATGCTTTTGCAAAAATACAAAATAAAGAAGCTATTCTGTCTTTAGATAAAGACGGAATAGCTGTTATGCACCTTTACTTTGAAGTCCTTGCGCCTCCCTTTCCTGTTTCTTACCGCTCTTTATACAATCGTCTACTTTTACTCACCATTTCTATGATCCTGGTTTTCTTTCCAGCTCGCTTCTTTTTGGCGACGATGTACTGGGCAAGAACCACGCCGCCGAACAAAGCACACACACTAGCGCTGGCCGCTGCTCCGACCTTTACCACGGCCGTCCTGTCCATGACGGTCCGCTGCTTTCTCACCGACCTGCCCGCCGACCGATCAGTCCCGTCCTTCCTCCTGTCAACAGACGCCTGCCTTCTGGCGCAATCACGCAATCAAAGATCGTCTATACAGAATGTGACCAGTCACTATGGGGGCAAAATGTGTGTGATTTTTTAAGGAATTAATATAAACCAGACCTTAATTTGCCGGTTCCTAAGCGGCAGCAGATAAGCTAGCAAACTTGCTAGATCGAAATCTTTCTAAACTTACATTCAAAATAAACTCACCTTTTTTGCTTCTGGTGTAAATGTACTTTCCTAAAACTTAAATTCCGCTAAAAAAATAAAAAGAAGAAAATAAATAAATTATGAGCTCTTTTTATCTCTGCTCACGTATATTTACAAGAACGTAAGTAATTTTTGTACTGCGGTTGTCTCGGCTTCTTGAGTTCCTAGTTTTCAAAATAAAACACTTCCGTTAGAACAGGAAGTACCAAAATAAAATTTAAACGTAATCACCAAAATGTAGCTAAAGTCAAAGTTTTCATACCGCATGTCCTCCAAAATTCCAATAATAAGTGGAATAACAGTGCTTTGTCTACATTAGCATCATAGTGTGTACTTATGGCCTTCAATCATAATAATAATAATGTACATGATGCAATTTCCTTAGACGTTATGATTTAACTTGAGCAAGTCTGACTGATTTTACCGTGTTTAGTATTTACAGCATATATACATGATATTTCAAATATTATTAGTCTATAAAGGTTTTTGAATTTTCTGTGCATTTGTCTTACAATTTGTGGACAATATTATTTAAGTGATGACTTAATGACAGCTGGTCCAACATCACTATAATAACCATTGTCCATAAAAGATGTCACTCGTTGGTTTATCATGTCCCATTCAGGATTCCTCAGTCTGAGCATTTTGGTTTAAGGTTTTTAAACCTAAAGATGTTACAAGCAAAAGTTGGATTTACGCTTCTGCATTAAAATTACACCATAATCCCCGTGAAAACTTGCGCTACAGCAATAAATTGATGCGCACCGCCCTAGAATTGTAAACAGCGTTCCTTCAGCAAAGCCTGTAACAGCTGTGACTGACCCTTTCAGTATCATTGTTTCCTTTTATGCATTCAGAAGTCTGCAAATTTTAGGGCATCTTGAAAACTAAATCTATGCTTATATTATCTTATGCTTATGGTAATTATTGTGATGTTAGCATGGGTTATCGTTACAATAAGCCACTAAATCACAGCACTAAAATATAATATGTTTTTTGTTGCTTTTGGGGTTTTTTTTGCTTTTTGTAAACAGAGTGAAATTATTTAGTTTTATGTCTGCAGGATTGTCCTTGTCCACACTGATGTCTTCCAACCGGACAATAAGGGCAGCTAAAAATGTAGTAGAGAATTACAGTTAAAAAGCCAGACCCAGACCCTGTGTGAGTGGAAACCTTGCAACAGCACTCAGCCAACATATATCGAGAATGTTAGTAGATGTTTTAAGTTAAATCATTTGAATGAGTCAATTTGCACATGTGGCATATATCATCTTCTGCTGTATTTCTCAGAATCACATATAACAAAACATTTAAAATTCATTTATTTTGAGACATACTTCTCTATGATAACTACTACTAATGAATTGCTGTGTGTCCTATTTTTACATGACAGATACCTTAAAGTGTATATACTCCCCTTAGCCCAGTCTTTATATTTATTTTTATTCTTACTCTTACTATATTTATTGTTCTTTTACACTGAATGGAACTGGAGCCTCGTCGTCTCGTCTCTCTATATACTGCACTGTATATAGCAGAGATGACAAAGTTTACTTTGACTTTGGTTACATGCCTTCATTTATGCTGCGCAATTTTCAACTAGAAAAAAAAGTCTCACCTTTTCTTTGAGCTGTTACGAACAAAATAAAAAGTGATGTACTCTGTCCTTACACAAGACAACAGCAGAAATAATTATAGGTCATTGTTCAGTCAGCGGTGCAACATCACAGACATACACAGACAATATTATATTGCTTCTTGATGTGGTTAATTTTTTCCAAGTTTGCAATGTCATCTATTCTGTGAAAATGTGAAAAATGGCTGAGTAACCTGTTAGAAACTGACAAAACATCATAAGAATTCACAAACAGACTCATATATACACACACACACAACATGCAACACCTTTGAATATCCAAAAAAAGTCATATTTATTTATCAACAACATTTATTTGCTGTAAGATAAATCAGATATAATTAAAATGTTCAAACCAAATATTGGAAAAAATACTGAAGCTAATTTAAGGTTTTATAAGTCATGTCAAGAAGCATCCAGAGGGAAGTAACTAGGTGTGTGTTTTTGAACTGGGGGAAGAGCAATTTAAGTCTTGTGACATGCCTACAGTAAGGAGGACAGGAATGCATTACAAGTAAAGTACTTTTGTCTGACAATAAACAGCATAACAACTACAAGTTGAGTGATAGGAGTGAATTCATCCACAAATAAACGGTTACAGGAAACCCATTTCTTCCTATATGAGTGTCAGTGACAGTATTACTATGTTTGGGCACCACCAGCATTAGCAGGAAGACAAACCTGCCTTCAATATTTTACAATCTGCAGTGACTATTTCTGGAATTGTTAATGTACTGTTTCTTACGCTTTTGAAGATTTCTCACATCGGGTTAGACTATCAAAGTTATATCACCTGATTCAAATAAATTAAATGTTTAAAAAGAAAAGAAAAAAAAGAGAAAGAAATGTGGTGATGCCGCTGCCTCACATATCTGACACTCCCACCACAGTGCAGTGTTTTTCCACTTTCGTCATCTGAACGGATGTTGACAATCACTATTCCACAGGTCGGATTCCTTTGGCCTCTTCCATCTTTCTCAGGGTCTCATCCCACTGGGTGAACTGCTTGGACAACAGGAACATCTGGCAATCAAGAGGTCAGCTGTCAGTGGGTGGAGCTTTATCTCAGCAACAACTTGTGTATCCATGACTGACCAAAGTAGCTATAGATAAAAAAAACTGTGGTAGTTTGCTAATTAAGTTTAAGATGTTTTTGATTGATTATTACATTTTGTTTACCCTAAGAATATACTTTGCTTTGTTCTCATAATCATTGTAATCATAATCATAATAAAATTGAAGTGTACCATTTTGTTGTATTCTTCAAAAAGCTTCTTAACTTCCTGTGATTGAACCTCACTTTGGTCCTGTAGAACAAACAGAATAATAATTACACATAAAACCTAGTGAGAGACAAACTCAGGAGTAGATGGAGAAAGAAAGAAAGGGCTACCTGCTGTTTGATGTGAATCTGTGATAAGCGCTGCAGCTTGGTGGCATGCTCTGGTACATCTGTGAACAAAAAAAACAAAACCTAATGAGGTAAAACATGGAATACTACAATAGGCACATCTATCACCCATTTAAAACAGGCTAAAACCCCTGGCTAAAAGTAGGTAACAAACCTAAGCATAAGATCCCTCCAAAATTATGCCAGGAATTAAAAAACAACAAAACAGACATTGTTTTGTTGGATCCTAATGTGTCCTACAAATTGAAACTTACCTCTGATGTAGGTGCTGTCCAGCAGTGGCTGCAGGTTGCTGACCTGTTCCAGTAAAGCAGCCTGTGAAAGCAAGAAGTCCTCCTCTGCAAAGAGACACAGAGCAAGAAATGGATTCAGCTCCTACTTGTTTTCTATATATAATAAATTTAATACTAATACAATTTGCACATATGGCAATTGACATTAAAGTTAATGCCTGTGTATCCTTCAGTAATATTAGTTTTCATTTACATTTTTAAGAGTTCTTACCAGCAAGGATGAACTCCAGCTTCATGGCATCAGGCACAGTGATGTGGTCTGTGAACTCAGGGTCCAAGTACTTTAAGAGGTCCTCAACTGCACCACAACAAAAATGAGCATGATTAAAAGTTCAATAGACTCAGTCTAAAATCTAAAAGATTATGCAAGAACTTTTGGTGTCTTGAAAGTTAAAGGTTGTCACAGAAATTTAGAGCCTTTTCAAGTTTTTCATTTTCAGTAGCCACATTACTAAACACATCAGTTTATTAAGGTATTAGTGATATGCATCTTAATGGTTAAGATGCATATCACCTGCTGTTTGAAACAGCATCTGCCGATGTATCTGACTATACTTTATTACACTGAGTAAATAGTATTTGAAGAAAATGAAGGTGAAACACTGAACAAAAAAATTAATTACTGTATGTATCCGTGTATAATATGAATAACCACATCAGTGTAAAGCAGTTGCTAATTTTGTAAGGTTAAAAATATATATTCACAAAAATACAACAAGCCAGTAATCTAAAGTGTGACTCACTCTTCTTGTGCAGAATCTTTACTCGTTCTCTCTTATTGGCCGTGTTGGTCAGACCGGCCTGAATCCTGGCCAATGACTCTGCACACTGCAGGAGAAAAGTTTGTGGTTATCATCCTGATACCAAGGGGTTTTTTTGGTGGTGTGATATAGAGTAATATGCTAGCACATAACATGCATACAAGAGTCAAGTTTATATGACATTGGGAGATATAGAAGGTACCAAGAAAACATAATTGCATTTTAAAACAAATATTTTCTACTCTTATGCTTATGAGGACTGGAATCTTATTATCCTAAAAGAAATGTGAGAATTAGCACGATGCAGGCTAAATACATGCTGTCTGTATATTCTGTATATTCCCTTACTACATTTAAGGTCTTATTTGGCTTTTTGCAGTACATATTGGATAATGGTCTCCACCGATGACCATTGGAAAGCAGTATTACATCACATGTCACAGGCTGTGCAGCATCAGGACCAGAAAAAACAGACATTCTCTTCTTCACCTCTCTTGTGCAATGTCTGTTACTTTGGATGGTTAAACCACGGGTATTTAAACTCATCCACCTTCACTACCCCTGCTCTTCCATATGACGCCTGTCTCCTTATTCACATACATGCATTCTGTCTTGCTTCTTATGACTTTCATTCTCCCTCTCTCCAGTAGAGGTACATACTACCTTTTGCTTTTCTAAATTTAGAAAGCATTTTAAATCGTATTACTGTTTTAGTCGTTTAGCTTGTTGTAGTGCTGTCTTACAGGAACCTCATTCCTTAGTTTCGTTCGCTCTTATGCTACTTCATGTGTTGAAATGGCAATAATACTCTCAAATCTTTGAATTTAAACTATATTAAGCCTAACAGCACACTGTAGCAATATCTCCACCTTTGGAATTACACAATCTAGTGGAAAACAAACCAACTTAAATGCCTCTTTGTAAGCCAGAGAGTTTTTTTTCCCCCAGATCACATGATACCCTGCTGAGTCCCCTCGCCTCAAAAAGCATCTCACCACTAGCTAGCCGAGGTTTCTTCGTTTAACCGTGTCAGACTATTGTATTGTTGATTATGATTAAGTTGAACAGACACAAAAGCACAGCGCCACAAAAACCAGGTTACAACGTACAGCTTTTTTAATGTAAACAGATGAAAGCTAAATAACCAACAGTTATAAAAATAAAGGAATAGCTTCTTGGTGGGCAGGAAAATACATTTCTCATATTTGTGCGAAACTAAATTGAACAACTAAAACAACTTCTGCTAACATTCTAGTGTATACATTAAAAAAGGGCGTTTACTCACAACCATCGTTAGCTCCGCAAGGCTAACAACTAGCATATATACAGATATACATAATATAAGCGAACCTTTGCAGGTTTTCCGCTCTTGATTTTTCTCTCGCCATATATACGACTCTCTAGCGCCCGGAGACGCATTTCCAGGTTATCCATCTCAGTTGTTTTATCCATTCCCAGAGCTGCCGATGAACACAACAGATCCCAAACAGGCGGAGGAGAAATACGTAGTTGAGAAGGGCCGTCGCATACTGATGATGCGTCGTCCCCCGGTTCTCTTTACCACTCAGCTATTTGGTGGGTGGTAGATGCAAAACCTACAACGCTTTAAATACTTTAAGCATTTAATATTTATTTTTAAAATTTTAGTGTCTTTTTCAACGTAAAATTGCAGATCATTTGGTATGTTTCTGTAGTTGGTTTAGTAAAGATAGCTGTCGCCAGTGGTCGCTGTTTTGCAGTAAACGGGATATTTTTGCTGTTTTTCCGGTGTCAGCGGGGGAATGACAACATAGGCCCTTTTTCCATTCAATATATCTACAAAATATCGACTAAAAAGTAAGCCTTACCCATCTCCTTCTCATAGAGTAAGAATTTCTGTCTGTGGGAAATATTATCAGTACCTTTGTAATTGGACTTTAAACATTTCTTTATTAGGTTTCCATTGGTTAAGTTAGCCTACTTAGCCCTCGAGCTAACATCAGTTTTTGCTCTACAGCTGCGTAGTTTGACAGTTTTGGGGTTCTTTTGGAGGTCTAAGAGATAGGTCGCTACCTATCACCGAACTGTAACCTAGTAATAACTTCACTGGCAATTTACTTAAGAGATATCTAAGTTACCCAAACCTGAAGTGCGCCAACGTGGTGCTAGCTTAACTTGCATTGGTTATTGAACTGAGGCTCAGCATTTGTGATGCTGAAAGTTTTGTCAGTGTTTGCTTGTTAGCCATGCTCCGATCTTTTGCTGACAGCAGGCGATTTATCTCTTCTGAAGCAGGCATCTGTTTGGGGAATTCATTCTTTATGTGCCACTGGGAGCAGCAGCATGGCAGATGACAAGGACGTGTTGAGAGACGTTTGGTTCGGCCGGATACCCACCTGCTTCACTCTGAACCAGGATGAGGTTACTGAGAGGGAAGCCGAAGCTTATTATGTAAGTACAGTTGTTCTAATCTAACATGATGCAAAATCTAGGCCTGACTTAACTTTTGTTTTTGGAGATTAATGCTTTCTGACCAAACATGCTTCAAGGAAGTCCTTCAGACAACACAGTCAGTAGGAAGCCTCTTATTTAACTTTTGTAAGGGTGCTTACAGAAGGATACATGGCCCATATTCATAAGCATTCTGAGGATCCACTCAGTAGCAAGGAGTTCAAGCGTAAGAATGATGTAAAACAGTTGTCCAAGCAAAATGAAGGAACTAACTACCTCAGTGTGGAGGTGTAGCTGACCAGGCTGTGGTCTCACCTGAACCGAAAACATTAGTGAAATAGTCAAACCTACATAGATTATAGAAGTAGTTCTAAGTATCGTCTAACAAAGTGTTTTTCAAACATTTTGTTCTTGCTTGCAATAATTATATTTCTTTATACTTCCAGGTAGCCAGACATTATTGCAGTTGCTTTTTTTGCTTTGGCTTTGAATGGCATTGAGCACTGTGCCTCCTTTTGCTCTCATTTTTAGTCCAGTCCCTGTAGCTGACCATTCTCAAAAGAATATATATATATATATGTGTGTGTGTGTGTGTATGTATATATACACTGTCCAATGAATCATGCAAACATAAAAGAAGCAAAAAAAACCTAACTCAAGGAATGAATCACTGTTGCATCTATGTATAATAAATTTAGGAAGGAACCTGTTTTAGAATAATATAATGTGTTGTTGGGGGAAAACAAATCATTTGTTCACATCACTTTATTTTGAATCTATAAAACTGCCAAGAGTAACACAGTTTGACAGGCATAAAATAGTATTTTTGCACCAATAAAGTGATTCCCATATAACTATTAGGGGAAAACATGACTTACCTCAGCGTGGTGCACAGGAAAATGGTTAGGTAGGTGGAAGGCAGAAGAGGAAATTGTAGGCCTAAAACACTATCTGGAGCAGATAAGAAGCATCTGAAATTCGCACCCTTCAGAAATAGAAAAGAAAACAGCAAAGACTTGACACAGTAGAGGTGCAATCTTTCATTTGGTCTATCTGCTGTTCACTGAAGCCTCATCAGAAATTAGTGGAAGGGTGGCTGTCAAGAAGCCATTCTTAAGGAAGGGAAATGGGGAGAAAAGGATGAGGTATGCCAAATTACACAAGAAATGGACTAAAACACATATTATGGAGTGATAAATCCAAACTTGAAATCAAACTTTGTCAGTTTGTACAGAGGAGGTCAGGAAAGACGTAGAACAGTGTGTATCTGTAAAGTGCATTGGAGACTGTCACAGTTTCGGGCTACATTTCAGCCAGGTGTGTTGAGTATCTGGTCAAAATTGCTAGAATTATGATTGCAGAAAAATGCCATCAGATTTTGGTTCATTAGGAAAGCATCTGAGTGGCTATGATCCCACATAAAAAATGCAGTAGAAGGATACCCGAATAGACGAGATATACCAAATACAGATTTTTAGCTTGGTAGAAGTGTGGAAACTCAATGTATTTCCATGTATGTTTGCACTTTTTTCAATAACTTGCGGCTCCCATTTCCCATTAATCTAAAGAAAATACAAAGAAATGAGGGGTGGCTCATGACTTTTGTATATGTCTGCTGTATCAGTGTTTGTTACAGACTCAGTGGTTTACAAATAAATGAACAAGTAGACAAAAATCATATAGAATAAAAAACAAATACAAGTACATATAGATATGTCTGTGAAGGTTCTCAGTCATCCAGGTCATTGTAGTCTAAGGAGCTTGGAAAAAAGCGTCTGGACTTCTTTGAGTTGCTTGAAGACGTTTCACCTCTCATCCGAGAAGCTTCTTCAGTTCTAAGGTCAAATGGCGGAGAGTCCCAGATTTAAACCCAGTGGGAGTTTCCCCCCAAAGAGG